TTTGTATCAGAAGAAATTTCAAGAATTTCAGAAAGTGTGTCAGAGATTTGGAATGAGCCTTCATTGGTTTGTTTGGAAATTACAGTTTTTGTGGTTTCAACTGATCTGGTATCATGTTTTCCAAAGAATCCACTAAATGTTGATCCAATTGTTGATGTTACTCCACTAATAATACCCTCATGTTCTTCTTCATGTTTCTTCTCTCCTTTTTTATCATATGACTGTGTTACGGTGGAGCTACCTGCAATAACCTTAGTATCAGTGGTAACTTTTTTGGTTGTTTTTTCTTCAACAAGTTTGGAACAAGTTTTCAAAAGTTCCTCTTCAAGCTTAGCATCTTTGATTTGTTCACTTAAATACTTTCTGGCCTTTTCATACTGAACTTTCCAAGTCGTTTCATGAGAGGAAGCATGTAATTTAAGATAACTAATAGTAATTGCAGTTGTCCACCAGGTGGTATGTTTAGTGGTTTTCTTGAGGTTTTTGCTAACAGCGTATGTTTCAATGGTAGATTCGAATGATTGAGATTTTGTATCAGAAGAAATTTCAAGAATTTCAGAAAGTGTGTCAGAGATTTGGAATGAGCCTTCATTGGTTTGTTTGGAGATGATGGTTTTTGTGGTTTCAACCGATTTAGTATCATGTTTTCCAAAGAATCCACTAAATGTTGATCCAATGGTTGATGTTACTCCACTAATAATACCCTCATGTTCTTCTTCATGTTCCTTCTTTTCTACTTTCTTGTCATGATGGTGTTTCTCAACACCAACAAGAGTGGCTCCTGCGATAACTTTTGTAGCAGTGTGATGATGATCATCTTTTTCTTTCTTTTCAACTTTCTTTGTGGTTTCTTCTTCGGAGGTGAATACGTGACTGATTTTGCCAATTATGGAGGTATCTTGTTCTTGTTCTTTTGATTCTTTACTTTTGACCTTTTCTTCTTCTTCGGAACTACTAAATACGTGACTGATTTTTCCAATTATGGTTTCTTGTTCTGTTTCTTTTTCTTCTTTTTTATGTTTAGTATCTTTATGTTTTTTCTTCTCTTCCTCTTCTACTTTTTTGTCATGATGATGTTTCGCAGCACCAACAAGAGCAGCTCCTGCGAGAACCTTTGTAGCAGTGTGATGATGATCATCTTTTTCTTTCTTTTCAACTTTCTTTGTGGTTTCTTCTTCGGTGGTGAATACGTGACTGATTTTGCCAATTATGGAGGTATCTTGTTCTTTTTCTTTTGATTCCTTACTACTTTTAACCTTTTCTTCTTTTATTTCTGTATGAATTACTTTTTTGGTTGTTTTTTCTTCAACAATTTTAGAACAAGTTCTCAAAAGTTCCTCTTCAAGTTCAACGTCATTTATTTGTTCACTTAGATATTTTCTAGCTTTTTCATATTGAACTTTCCAAGTCGTTTCATGAGAGGAAGCATGCAATTTGAGATAACTAATAGTAATTGCAGTTGTCCACCAGGTGGTATGTTTAGTAGTTTTCTTGAGGCTTTTACTAACAGCATATGTTTGAATGGTAGATTCGAATGATTGAGATTTCGTATCAGAAGAAATTTCAAGAATTTCAGAAAGTGTGTCAGAGATTTGGAATGAGCCTTCATTGGTTTGTTTGGAGAT